TTGTTTTAAAGATCGTTTAGTTTGCTCTTAAATGTCCCTTAGTTTGTTGTTAAATATCGTTTAGTTTGTTCTCAACGATCGCTTAATTTGTTCTTAAATGACGCTTAATTTGTTGTTAAATATCGCTTTCGCTGAGTATTAAATGACCAAAAACTAGAGTTACTTTCGGCCGGTGGCCGAAAGTCTAAGTCAATTTCGGCCGAAACCGAAGAAAAACCGAAAGTTAACTTTTCTCTTTCGGCCGAAACCGAAATAAAGCCGAAAGTTAACTTTTCAGTTTCGGCCGAAACCGAAATTTGGCCGAAAGTGATCAAATGGCCACTTTCGGCGCCGAAACCGAAGCCGAAGCCGAAATTCGGTCGGTCTCTAATTCGCACCCGGGTACCATTAGACTCAATGTTATTCATTTTTTGAAATTTGAATACTATCCATGGGCTTAAATATTGTATTTGTATGCTTTGTTTTAATGTTTATTCGAGTGAAAAATCCTTGTTGGTAGAGGTCAAAGGTTGTTGAAACTTTTTGACTGCCTCCTCCTGAGCAATTTTGAAAACCTTTGCTTTGATGGTTTGACCTTTAGCGTCCTTGGGAGTACAGAGAAGTACAGAGGAAATGTTGATGGTTTGGCCTTTAGCGTCCTTAGGAGTACAGAGAAGTACAGAGGAAATGTTGATGGTTTGGCCTTTAGCGTCCTTAGGAGTACAGAGAAGTACAGAGGAAATTTTCACAAGGGTTAAACACCATCAAAGGAGTTGTTATGTAGAAGACGTGTTTACATCACTTTCCCCCGTGCCATGAACTCTGTCTGACCCCGAATTAGGTTGCGTTCGTATTGGGCGTGGCTTATTCCCTTTGATCTTGGCCTTGTTTACTAACCACTACCAATTAAAAATAATTGATATGTTCTAATAGAATTTTGTGGAAAATTCGGGAGTGAACTAGACAGGTAAACAGTGTATAAGGCAGTTCGAGATCTTTCAGTAGGATAGAATATAAAAGCGGGATTCATTTTTGGAGCATGAAGATATTTTGACTTCACGAGACAAGGGTGTATTATTCTGTGTGTACTCATATGTGTTATTCGTATTCATCATAGTAACTTATTTTTGGCACATTGTATTAACTGTGTACCGGTACAAGACTTACCATACTCTGTAAGTTGATGATTTTTAATTATATTTCTTTTATTTTGTATTTATATTGATACTTAAATAAATCTTATTAATTGTAATTAGCAACTGTTTTGAGTGTCTTATTTTCGCTATTGTATTTCTCGTATGGTATCGTCCTTTGCTATGCACTGTTGAGAACGAGCCATAAAATAAAATATATAAGAGATTAATGGCTCACTATAGAAGGCAATGTGTAACAGGGGTAGACACCAAGCATATATTGTAGACATCCTCAAAGGGGGTGACATCCTCATAGGGAGATGACACCAAATGTAAATAAGTATAAGTAAATTTGATAGCGCTCGATCAAGTCGGTTTCCTAACACATCTAAGTTTAATGCAAGAGCAGGGGTGCCTCCTTTCACCCGAGTAGGGTGCCACAAGATTAGGTTAACTACCATAATAGCAGGGTGTCGCCAGAGCAGGCTGGCTCATAGGGGGGTTCATGGATAAGCCTGCGTGGAGTTAATCTCGCTAGATGGAATCAAGCTAATGACGCCACTGAGCATAAGATAATATAGGTAACTAGCAAAATAATGACGTTTAAAAGACAAGACACTAGCACTGTCTGCCGAGCCACAGTGGTAACCACAAGTTATTTGGTATGTTTGGTTATTAAACAGGCCAGATGCAGTAGTGCCGATCGGGCCGATCCTACGTACAGGCCCGTTCTTAGGCATACGCTGACTGCGCATCCGCGTAGGGCCCCGAACGTGAGGGGCCCCCCGTGAGGCGCCCTCGATCCCCCAGTTTTTTTTTTTTACCTGGCACTGCAGCCGTCTGTGTCACTCACGTTACCTTCCTCATCCTGTATCATTCTGAGTTGAATTCGGAGGCAAGGGAAGGGAAGTAGCAGGGGGTGAGCTTTGGGGGTGGCAGACAGGGAATCGGGGGCTTGGCCGTGGGAATGGGAAAGAGGAAACATTGATGAAGGCAGAATGGAGGTGCCACTGTGGTGGGTGGTGTTTTCTCCTCAGCTCGAGGGAGCTCCACCCCCCCCCTTTCCGAGGCCTCCAACCTACGCTCCATGCTCAGGTAGAGTCCTTATTATAAATAATCATAATTTGCCATATGCCAAACGTTGTCAAGGGCAGCCATTCACGGTCACTTGCATAATGTCTATGCCGTGGGACTACCTCAGAATTTCATTCATAAGAGATTGCCGTCTGCAAAAACTATAAAACCATTGTTCATGGAAAGCTTTAATTAAAATAGTCATGTGCCAAAGTTGAAAGTTCAAATATAAGTAGTCCCTAAATAGTGTTTTATTAATAAGGGGATGCGTTGCCTTATATTTTGTTACTTCACGGGCCAAAAAGTGGGTGCTGGCGGGCCGCATGCGACCCGCGGGCCGTATATTGTGCAGGCCTGCTCCAGACGACTGAAATGTATACAGATCATAAGTGCGTTCTGTAGAATGTGCATGAGACAGATGTCTGGCATAAGCAAATATCAATTGATCAAGCTTTTTTATTTGATTACTGTGCGCCATTCAAACAAACTTTCTTTCGAGCAACATTCCTTCAAACAAATTGGTTTCGAACGGATACGGTTGTAATCCGCAATCAAACTATTTTTTTTTTAAAGAATTTTTTATCTGTTTCATGAGACAGTTTTCCGAGAACTTGGATCACTTCTAATTCCATGAGGCCATCAAATTGAATGGCAAAAGCAGTCCCTGTATAGGGGCTATGGCTTGCATCACCACATCCTTCAACTTGGACAGATATTGCGGCCTTTCGTCGCGATGCATGGACATCCCCACCTCACCCCAGCCCCCAAACCTGATACATAATTCGACTCCACATCATATAACCGTCTCCGCCGCTCTCTCTCTCTCTCTCTCTCTCTCTCTCTCTCTCTCTCTCTCTCTCTCTCTCTCTCTCTCTCTCTGCCCCTGAGCTAGCCTTCTGCACTTGGTTTCTGTCTGCATACAACTTTGGCTAATGGATCATCTTGCATCCGCTCAAGTTGTCTTGTTCAAAGCAGCCCGCCATTTTTAACTTTAGTGACTTGGTTATAGAGACCGACCGAATGTGATTTTCTGGTTTCGGGCGAAACTTAAACGTGGTTGAAAATCAGTGGAAATGATCAGATAACAACTTTCTTTGCCGAAACCGAAATTCAGTCGGCCTCTACGTGTTTATAGTTGGGACCTCGTGCAAGTGATATATTTCTTGATGGTTCTTAATTATCCACTCCACATTATCGTGAATATGACTATAGAAAGATTAAACCATTTTTTTTTAGAAGTAAA